AGTTGGAAACTACTCTCACACTTACTAGCCCACACAAAGGCAACTCTCTTCCTGGTCAATCCAGTGAAACGTAATGTTATCTTAGAAATTTTTCTCAATAAATCTCCTATAATAATAAGCTCACCCAAGAAAACTCCTAACCTCACTAATTGACTTTGGTATCTCCCACTTAAGCACAACTTCTACCTTAGATAGATCTACCACAACAAGAAAAACTGTTATTGTAATAGCCCAATTTTCACAGATTGTTTGAGGGCCCAAAGGCCCAATCGGGGTAATTTAGTAGCTAAGAACGGGCCGTTCCCAAATTGGAATGGGCCGTTCCAAAATACTAAAACGAGAGTGATTTTGTAGCCCAGAACGGGCCGTTCCCAAACTGGAACGGGCCGTTCTGAAATACAAAAATTATCTACAAATTTTAGATGGGAACGGGGCATTCCCAAATTGGAACGTGGCGTTCCCAATTTGGAACGGGGCATTCCAAATCACAAAAGATGCCTATAACCCTAATTGAGAATGGGCGTTCCAGATATGGTCATTGTGGGTTAATTGCAACCCCAGAACGGACCGTTCTAGTTTGAGAACAAGCAGTTTTGGATGTGATTTTTACACATGTCGTCAGAGTCCAGAACGGACCATTCCAGATTTGAAATGGGCCGTTCTGACGACGCCTGATGCTTATAAATAGAGCACTCTACGACTTCCAAAATCAGATCTTTCAGTTCTAACTTCTTTCAGTTCTGACTTCTTTCTTCTACACTTTCTTCTTTTCCTTCTACACTCTCTGAAGATCGAGGGGCACTTAGAGGAGGAGACCAAGGAGATCTCTATTTTAGTTTCAGCTACTATTTATCCAGGTACGGGGGAAAGGGGAATTATTTATGTGCAGAGTTACATGAGGAAATTGGGTAGAGGAGGAATCCCGTAGGATTAGGGTTAATTTTATAATTATTTCTGTTTGAGAAATTGATGATCCCATTAGACTGTATATGTATTGAGGATTAGAAATATGCTAATAATTTGCAAGAATGATGACCTGGGAGAGAGAACGAAATTGTAGAAAAGTGCTTGTGAGTTAGATTTTGGAATAATTGGGGGTTTTACCGTTTATGTTAAGATTATATTAATTGATAATTCCATTGATTATTATATTAATTTATGAATGTTATTGTTATATTACTTGATAAAATTGATGATTTAGATGTGAATTGTTTGAGGTGTATGAAACCCATTATTTTGGACTTATATGATGTGTGTATGGAATTGAACTATGAGATGTTGTGTGGAATGTGAATGAGATGAGATTGTGGTTCTTCACACCTATGACTAGGGGTGAGCACGGCCCGGGATTGTTACATGGGTATCATGACCTTGGTTAACATGTTAGGGGTGAGCACGACCCTAGGTTAGGGGTAACGTGACCTTTGTACAGTGTTATATCAGGGGTGAGCACGGCCTGCGATTGTTACATGGGTATCATGACCTTGGTTAACATGTCAGGGGTGAGCACGACCTTGGGTTAGGGGTGAGCACGACCTTGGGTTAGGGGTAACGTGACCTTGGCACAGTGTTATATCAGGGGTGAGCACGACCTTGGATTGTTACGTGGGTATCGTGACCTTGAATAACATGTCGGGGGTGAGCACGACCCTTGGCTAGATATGCTACAGGGGAATCGTGACCTTGGCACAATGTTATATCAGGGGTGAGCACGACCTTGGATTGATTAAATGGGTAGCATGACCTTGGCATAGTGTGAAGTGCAAGATTTGTGATGATTGGTGTGATTGAGAATTATGACGTGATGACGATGCATGATTGATTGAAATACGATATATTGAAATATTTATGAATATTAAGTTACAATGAGTTATGATTATGTTGTGTTTTTCCTTGTGTGCTTTCCATATAGATGTTTCCTTTTCTTACCGTACAAATTGTGGATATTTTAGGTGAGGAAGATCCGGCTACGAGTGGCATCTAGAATGCCAACAGTTAAATTGTGGGTATGCTCTGATATTGTGACATCGGGGCAGAGGATTTTTAGGACATAGATTTTTATATGGATCTGTAATTGTAAATATTATTTTGAAAACAATTTGTAAACTCTCAAGTTTTATTTTCAATTATTATGTTGGTTATTGATAAATAAATATGAAGGTTTTATGTGAACCCTTTTACCAACATTGAAAATTTTATTCTTTAGTTTATTTACATGATTAATATTTATATATGTGTTGGGGTAGTAAGGGTGTAACAGTTATTATCTACGAAATATTACCTACGGAATTTTTTCAGTAGATAATTTTTAGTTATCTACAGAATATTACCTATGGAATTTTTTATGTAGATAATGTTTAGTTATCTACGGAATATTACTTACGAAAATTTTTCTGTAAATAATTTTTATTTATCTACAGAATATTACCTACGAAATTTTTTCTGTAGATAATGTTTAGTTACCTACGGATAAAATCCGTAGATAACAACTTTTGTAACATCCTGAAAATTTTTACCAATGTAATAATTAATTGTTATTATTATTTTATATATGGAGATTAATTCTTATGATTATTTTAACAAATTAAATGGGTTTCATAAAATATTTTAGATGTTTTTAATGAATATGAATATTTTAATAAGAATTATTTATGCAAAAACAATATTTTAGAAGCCTAGAACGGGCCGTTCCAAACTACTAGAACAGCATATAAATCTTGCATCGAAACGGGCCGTTCCAAGACATGTTTTTATGAGAAAAATTTGAAACCAGAATGGGTCATTCCGATTTAAGAACGGACCGTTCCGGTACATTAATTTATAAGCAAAGTTCGAACCCAGAACGGGCCGTTCTGGTTGAAGAACAGGCCGCTCCGGTTGAAGAACGGGCCGTTCCGGTTGAAGAACGGGCCGTTCCAGTTGGAGAACGGGCCGTTCTGATTGAAGAACGGGCCGTTCCGGTTACATTTTTTTACATATCACTAATGAGTCTAGAACGGGCCATTTCAGTGGCATATTTTTGAGGTGACGATGGAGTCCAGAATGGGCCGTTCCGGTTTTGGAACAGGCCGTTCTGGCCACGGCCTGATGCCTATAAATAGAGCGTTTTACACTCTTTAAAATTCATTTCTTCATTTTCTAATATTTTTCCTCCTTTCTCTCTGAAGACGAAGGGGAACCTAGAGGGGGCGACCAACAAGATTCGACTCCTGCTTATCGAGGTAAGGGGGGAGTGAGAAATCTTGCTCTGGGTGTGGGAATATATGCTGGGTAGTGGGATTGGCCCCCAATCCTGTGTTTGCTGTATTTTTTGTATGCTCATGTATGAGGGGTTTCTCCCAATTGTATTTGTTTTGCTTATTATTTTTCTTATATACAATTAATTGTATAATTTAGAGTGCTCTATGGTTTCTTATGGGAAACCTTATGAGAAATAGACAAAATATGAATATTTTCTGTTTTGATTTCTGATTGCTCTATTGTATTCCTTGTTAAATGTAATGTGTAAGTATGTGATTAATTTTGAGAATAAATATGTTTTAATATGATTTAGAGTACTCTATGGGTTCCTGCGGGAAATCCTATGAGAAATAGGAAAAATATGAATATTTTCTGTTTTGATTTCTGATTGTTCTGTTATATTCCTTGTTTGATGAGACGTAAAAATATGTATTTAATTTTATAAATAAACGAGTTTTGATATAAATTAAAGTGCTCTGTGAAGGCTTTGTGAATATGATGAGATAATGTGATAATGTGAAATGTGATTGAGACATGAGATATGAAATGTGATAATGAAATATGATGACGAAATGTGATAATGTGATATGAGAATGCATAGAGTCTTGATTGACATGCATCATTTGCATAAGTGTTTTAAGGGTACGATATGGAATACACCGCCAGAGAAGGCCCCCTAGTGTAAAAGCTTTGGGGATTAGTCCTTGGGGATAGCTCGGTTTGGAAGTCCCAGTCTCGCCCATTGTGTGCATGGGATGTATCTTGCGCGGCTTAGCTATCCCGACGAGACTCTGGTAGTATATCCTTCTAGTGAGAGTGCGCAGAGGGTGTGACCCGGCATGTACTCCTAGACTACTCTTCGTGTATTGCTAGCGGCAATATGCCATGTGATGTTTTACTGGCGCCACATGCATGATAATATGTAGTCCGTGTACATACATGTGCATTTTCAATGTTATATAATTAATTGATATTTTTATGTCTTGGATGAGTGAGATGTCATATTGTTATTAATAAATCTATGCTATATCTGTCTTGTTTGTGTTTGGCTATTCGGTGTGTATTTCTACACTGTTAGCTAGAGTGAGATGTTTCTCACTCCCTTTTCTTTTTTTTGTTCTCCTTTGACTGTTGTATAGGTGATTATCAGCATGAGGCTGGAAATGTAGGTGATGAAGCTTAGGCTTCAGAGTTTGGCTTTGCTCTGATAGGACATGTGACATCGGGGTGTAGATAGGATTAGATTAGGATGTTCACTTATTAAATTATTTTTTGGAGACTTTACTTTTATTTTATTTTTTTTAAATTTTGCTGATTTTGTTAAGTTATGCATGTGGTACTCTCTATCTGAACACGTTGGATATTTTTAATTATAAAATGTTCTATTATTTAAATTTTATTATTATGTGTTATGATATGTGGGGTAGAGGGTGTCACATTTAGTGGTATCAGAGCAGGTCGATCCAATCGGCCTTTAGTTATAAGTTTACTGTGCTTGTTTGATAGATCAATGATGGAATGAATTAATTGTGAAATTTGTGCTAGCGTGATGATTGATTATGTTTGTTGTTTATTTGATTGTGTGTACTACTTTCTTAGATTATGGCTGGTAGAAATGATCGTGCTATTGCTATGCCCTCCAAGCGTTGGCACAAGCTGTGAGTAACAACAATAGGTCTAAATTCGCTCCTAACTGGTTGGAGCAATTTCAACGAAATCATCCACCTACTTTCAAAGGAGGATATGACCTAGATGTTGCGATGAATTGGCTAATGGAGATCGAGAAGATTTTCAATGCCATGGAGTGCCCTCTTGCTCAGAAGGTGAGGTTGGCTACCTTCATGTTGACCACTGATGCCCAATTTTGGTGGGAAGGAGCACTTCAAAGGATGATTGATGGAGGAGTGCAATTGAATTGGGACAACTTCAAGAGGGTCTTCCTTGAGAAGTATTTCCCAGATGATTGAGGAGTCAAAAGGAAGTTGAATTTCTCGAGCTGAAGCAGGGGAATGATACAGTGGCAGAGTATGCTGCAAAATTTGATGCTCTGGTTCGCTATTGTACTCATTATCATGGTGAGGGTGGTGAAAAGGCTAAGTGCATTAAGTTCGTGAATGGCCTTCGTCCTGAGATAAAGGCAGCAATCAATTATCAAGAGATTTATCACTACCCAACGCTTGTCAATAAGAGTAGAATCTACGACCATGACAATTGTGCACGTGCTATTGTTACAAGGGAGCTGGAGGTCCTATGCGTGCTGCAAGTTCTAGTGCTCCACAAGTTCTAGTGCTCTGGGTAAGAGTAAGCCTTACTCTGCTCCTGCCAAGATTCAAGGAAATCATGCTAAGAGTAGATCTGTTCCTGGAAATTCTTTCGTAAGTGGTGCTGCTAGTGTAAGAGGCTCTGTTTCTACCCCTACTAGTCGATGCAAGAAATGTGGGCTACGTGGGCATGAGCACTATAACTGTCCTGACAAGGAAATAACATGTTTCAATTGTAATGGCAAGGGTCATATTAGTACTCAGTGTCCACAACCGCCAAGGCAACGCATGACGGGAACATGAGCTAGTTCTCCACCTAAGCGTCCAAAGACTACTGGAAGAGTATTTGCTCTTAGTATTGCTGAAGCTGCTCAATCTGATAATTTAATACAAGGTATGTGTTTCATAGCTGAGAATCCTGTTATTGTACTATTCGACTCTGGTGCAACTCATTCTTTCATTTCTTTTGCATGTGTCCAAAAATTGAAATTGCCAGTGTCTTATTTGAGCTATGATCTAGTTGTAGAAACCCCCACAGATGGTCCCATAACTACTTCTAGTATTTGTCTTAAATGTCCAATTGTTATTTCTGAAAGACAGTTTTTGGTTGACCTTATTTGTTTGCCTCTTAGTCAACTAGATATCATTCTTGGAATGGACTGGTTATCTTCCAATCATGTCTTACTTAATTGCTTTGAAAAATCCATATCTTTTGGTGAGAGTAAGTGTGGGGAGTTTTTAAGTGCTAATAAAATAAAAACTTGTTTAAAGGAAAATGAAAAGGTTTACATGATTCTCGCCTGTTTGACACTTGAGAAAGACCATGAGCTTAGTGAGATTCCCTTAGTGAGTGAGTTTCCTGAAGTTTTCCCTAAGGACATGTCTAGCTTACCACCTGAGAGAGAGATTGAGTTTTCCATAGACTTAGTACCTGGCAACACCTAAGCCCACAATATAACACTTGTTAGTTTGATTTTATTGTGAAAGAAACTCTTCTTCAAACGTTGACCTTGAATTGGAAGGAGCACTTGGTTTAGATGAAAGCCATCTATACTGATTTTTTTCAATAAACAATTAATTTGGATCAAAAAAGGATCAGAATCATCAGATTGAATTACACAAGATCCATGTGCATGCGCGCATGCTTGCTACAGTATATGTAACAACCCGCCTAGCTGTCACATAGGAAAACACCACAGTCCCACACAGAAAAGAGCATGCATATATATATAAGCAGCTAAAATATATACACAAGGTCTAGGTTGGGGCATAAAATCAATATACAAAATACAGCCCAATTGCTACACTAAGTAGCTAAAACAACAAAATATCAAAACTACATCCACTGCATCTGTCAGCTACAAATCTGCCTCTACACACCAGACAATCCCTGCTCTGCTCCCACACATAGTATGATCATTGCAGTCCAAACTACATGGAAACAACAAAGGATAAGCTAGTGAAAAGAATCAACTTATACACATATAATTACAAGAATTATAATCAGCTACAACTATCAGCACATCATTAGATTCAGCATGACTCAGCATACAACACAACACAACATACATCTCACATCATTCAGCAAAGCAACATTAAACAAACAATGCGTTGTCACGCATATCAGCTCAGAGATCTCCTACAACAGCTCAGCCTTACGGCCTACAACAGCTCAGCCTTATGGCCTACAACAGCTCAGCCTTACGGCCTACAATAGCTTAGCCTTACGGCCTACAACAACTCAGCCTTTCGGCTACAACAGCTCAGCCTTACGGCTTACAGCAGCTCAGTCTTACGGCCTACAATAGCTCAGCCTTACGGCCTAAAATAGCTCAGCCTTTCGGCCTACAACAGTTCAGCCTTACAGCCTACAACAGCTCAGCCTTACGGCCTATAACAGTTTATATTCACAACACAGCTCAAAATCAACATTCATCACAACACAACATAATAACATTAACAATTTAGACAACATACAACTCAGCTCGGCTCAACAACATTAATCAGCATAAGCATCATACAACATAAACATCATACAGGACAGCTCAGCTTAACAGCAATAACAGCTCAAACAACATACAGCACAACTCACCTTAACATTATTAACAGCATGATCAACAACTTCACAACATACAACATATTCAACACATAATACGACTCACCCATCTTGTTTACAACTCATCTATCATGCTAAATTACTCACCCAAACAACACCAATCAACCTAAGCACCTAAAACAACTTTCAACTTAACCAAATCACTAATTGTCAAATGGAAACCTTCACATAAAACAGCGTATTAGGAGTTATACTACTCCTACCATGCTCATCCTTATCTCATATGAAAGATAAGAAGATTTCCTACAAATCTCATGAAGACACCAAGTCCTAATTTCTTCATCTACCTTGTTAAAAATTCTAAAAACCACAACAGCTATAACCAATACTTTTAGCTTGACCCTTCTTCACTAAA